TCTTAGACAGAGGATAAAATTCGTTGATAGGAGAAAAGTGAATTTATTGGTTTCGAGATATGTAAACAGGTCATATTTACGTTATTCTACAAATATCACATACTTTGAGCATTGCAACACTTTTTAATGGAGAAGAAAGAGATTCATATTTAGTAAAAAATAATAATATTTTAATGAAAAATCAAAGGAGTAACGATGGTACAACAACGTTGTAATGTAATAAAAATTCATACGAACTTATGAGATGACCTAATACTGTTATATATTTGGCTCATTGAAATCTTTGATCGCAAATTGCCATAATAGACGAGAAGGCCTCTATATGGGTGCTTTCACGAAAAGAGTATGCATCTTATTAACACTGATTTTCACGTTATTCGCAACAGTGAGACTATGTGGGACAAGTATATGTGGAGATAAAATTCACTAAATATTCATTTTAGAGATTATAATAAATTATAATGAGCCCGATGAACCGAGCTTTCTCTTTGTCGTCGTTACTGACATCAGCGTATATCACCAGACACTCGTTTCATGAACGATCTCTAATACAGTTAGGAAACGATTTTTTTAATCACACGGACGAGTTATTACATTTATGATACTGTAATTAAGGGGGCAGGACTCTTTGGCGCGTTCAAAAGTAAGACATGTTGCAAATAAATCTAAAAACGTAAAAAAACATTTATAGCATGAACTATACATAGAAAACAGCATCAATTCTTTTAAAAATGATCCTTGTTTGTGTTTGTGACAGCGAATCTTTTTCTGCATTACCAAACAGGATAAGTTGAAAAAAAATTTAATTTTAGATTATTGATAATATTTAGGATTTTATAAAAGTTCTGCAAGCAAGTGAAACATGCGTGTAAAAAGAAGTATTCCATATTAGAGCAACTGATTTTTAAGGGGATAGTCTCGTGGGAACGTTGCAAAATTTAACCACCTTTATTCATTTTTTTAAACTAAATGTTCCATCTAACGCTTCAATTTATTTTCGCAATTTACTTAACTATCCTTTGGGAATAAAAAATCAATTTTGTCAATAATTTTTATTGACTTTTCATGTTTTTATTACGCTCATAGTAAACATGTGTTTAAACACTGGCGTAGGTGATTGCAGCTCTCAAGGTTGATTGAATCAAAAAACTCAAGAAAACTTTTATTTGGTTTCCTGTTATCGCCCGTAGCAAAATAATTAATTTATGTCGAAAATTGACAAAATGGCGAAAGCTTAAGGGGCCTTTCTACTTTGTGGGATTAAAAAAATCGAATTTTTTTTGCATTGTCTTTTAGTATGTAGTCTCGAAAATATATCCACCAAATATTAAATTGAAATTCGGAAAACTAACAAAGTTATAGCCCGCTGAAATATAACAACTGGATGTGAAACTTTAAAGCTGTTTTTCTCGAAACTACATTTTTCGGCACTGCGTATGTGATAACAGAAAAACTATTCAAGATATCAACAGGAAATTTATACAGTATCTTTAGAACTAGTCTCCCTATAGCATGAACTAGAATAATTGCGATATCTGCAATACTTTTTCTTTTATTAACAAAAAGGCAGCCGAATATATGAAAATATTCAGTATTTTTTCGTAAAATAGCTGCCATTTTGCCATTTTTTGTTCTTTTGAAAAGATTCTAGTTCATGCTATAACCACACTCATCTATATTAAGAATATCGTTGGTTTTTGGATTTCGGATAACTTGTTCGCAAGATATCACATACGCAGTCGGGCGCCGTTCCTAAAAACTGTTGTTTGTTGATCAACAAAAACAGCGTAATCAATAGATATTATGCGTTGCAAAAATTCGTAAATATAGCTAAATATATAATAAATCTATCTACAAAACACGGAATTAATCGCTCTTTAATAGCCCGCAAAAAAAATCACAAAGGAACATGTATTTTTCGTGCCTACAAGGTAGAATGGCCCCTTAAATTAAAAATTGCTACATTTTGCCATTTTTTCCGCAAACTTTTTAATAAAAGTGTACGATATACTCATTATAAAATCACCCGTCGTATAGGAAAATGTTAATAAAAAATGCCCCGGTCGTTAACGCGTTAATTTCGTACAAATCGACGAGTCCCGTCGATCCCCGTTGCAGCCCGTAACAATAATCGCTCGCGAATTAATTGAAATCCGACCGTTTGGTGCAGCGGGTAAAAGAAATAATAGGACCGGGTCTTTATTAAACGCGAGATTTTCGGGGGAATTTAGATCGCGGGTTTAATTTCCGTGTCAGTCAAGGCCGGGGAGACGTCTGGTGTCCCGTGAAACGCGTATCAACGGATCACGAGATGGATAGCAGACCCGCGAAACGGAAAAAGGCGGCGAGTAAAAGCGAGACAGGCGAGGTGGGAGGGGGAGGGTAAGCGGGAACCGATGAAAGGAATTCCCCGGTGCTGTTCCCAGCTTTGTTTGCTTCGTTTTCTCGTTGTAAAATGAAACTATTGCTCTATCAATCGGTGCTCTTTCGCCCCCTCCGCGTCGCCGGGACAGAAAACGTCGGGGCTGGTTCGTTTGTTGGCCCGTTCTCCTCCTTACTTTTCTGTCCATCTCGCGCGTCTTTCGCGAAGTTCACGAGGCTGCCAGGCTACGACGCTAAGAGGAATAAGCCTGTACACCGGAGGGTTGTACACACCCGCTGGCTGTCGAGATACCAAAGATTCCTTCAGAGATTGCGGACGAAATTTCGCTGTAGTGATGGACGAACTCCTCTCCACCCCGCGCCTTGTCTTATCTTACCCCTGCCGGTATTATAGCCCGTCCTCCCGTGCCTGCGCTAAGGCGGAGGTATCCTCCGTCAGACAGATAAAATTCCAGGAAAGGCGAAAAGGCCCTTCGCCCGACTCCCTTTTCCTCTGGAAACCTGAACCTCTCGCACCTACGAAACTGCGATCCCCTATTCTATATCCTATCGGGACCTGCAACGCCACCCCACTTCACCACGGCTCCTCTACGCCCCCGCACAGTTTCTCAACCCCCCCTGTACCTCTACGACGAGGAGACTTTAAATCGAAAGATTCCCGTTTAGATGGGTCCACCGTCACGTTCGAGTTGCGGGATATCCTGTCGTACGGAATCGATTTCGTATCTTTACATACGCTCTGCTCTAATAACACCTACGCCCGAACGCGCCTCGATGATCGATTGATTTTTATCCAACGTTGATGGAATTCTTTAACTGCGATAATCCACCAAACCGTAAAACCGTCGATTGTGTTTCAACGCGATACAAACTCCTTTCTTTTCTACCCCATACTGCGCTTGCAATTAACTATCATGCAAATCTATTTCTTTTTCTCGACGTAACTGATCTTTTCAACCCTCGAGTGGATCATTGGGGCTGCTGTTGCAAGTTTAAACTAATAATTGTTTAATATATATCAATGTAATGTGAATTAAATTATTAATTATGCTGCTTTAAGGGAAAGTTGATTTCTATTTACCTTTTGGTCAAAATCGACATTAAGTTAAGCGATTCAGTTGAGATTCAGGATCCACTTAAGGATTAAGTATATTATAACTATGGATAATTTAATTCATATTATTATTCGTGAAATCTGAATTTTCACGAAGATCCACAGTCCAGTTATTTAATCCTTAAGTAGACTAATCTCAACTGAATTACTTAACTTAATGTTGATTTTTATCAAATTTAAGTAAATATAAATCAATTTTCCCTTAAAACATTTAAAAAATGGGCTAATGGAGGATTACATAAATTATAATATTGTAACATAAATTTATTATTTGAAAATTGATGTAATCCTTCATTAGTCCATTTTTTAAATGTTTTAAGGGAAAATTGATTTATATTTACCTAAATTTGGTAAAAATCAACATTAAGTTAAGTAATTCAGTTGAGATTAGTCTACTTAAGGATTAAATAACTGGACTGTGGATCTTCGTGCAAATTCAGATTTTTATTAATAGAATTAACGAAATGGGAGCTTCGTTTAGACTCTTACCTCACCCTTTTTGCAAAGCATAAAAATGCATCTCAGTGTTTAGGTTTCTCTAAACAAAATTTCGTTTTTTTCTCGAGCTAAATATATGGATTAAATACAGTAATGCCTTGTTTGGGACCGAAACTAAATATTATCAACTATTGCATTTACGTAAGTGACAATCTCGACTTGGATTTTCACGCATTATTTGATACACAACTGCATCTAATAGACTTTGTTTTTGAACTTACGTTTTTCCATCTTTCACGAAGAAAATACAATCCTTTTTACCCGGAATTATTTCACTATCATAGTTATCACAGAAAAGTGTTTTTTATCAAATTTTTTACTTCTGACGAAATACGACTAACCATACAATATGTCGTATAAAATTCTTCAGCTATTCTCCTAATACTCCATGTTAAGATCCAAAAATTTTCGTTCGTGTCATTCTCTAATTAAAATTTGTCCACTGTCATTACTTGAACTGTCTCGATCTGTTACTGTTTTTATAGATCAGAACTGAATTTATGTATGTTTGAAACTACTTTTTGACCAGTCGTCATTAAACTTCTGTTTGGAGTTTTACAAGTTTTGTTATTATCGAAACCATCAATATTCTTTCCTGATCTTGACGCTGTTTTCTGTACATTGACAATCGACAACGATCACACGCTAGCGATTGTCCAGTAATATATGAAAAGAAAGGACTCGGGGATGATGGTAATCAGCATAAATTTTTACTTATACGAAAACGTAAAAGTCGCTGAAAAGGATTGCAATATTTATAATATTTTTATATTGCAAAAATTACGTTACGAGTAGAAGAAAAAATTACTCAAAAAGAACTGAAAAATTCTTCCCCAAAGGTACTCGTAAAAGCCATTGGAAACTGACAACTTTGCAAGTCTATATTTTTTAAATAATCTCCATTAAAATTAATGTTTCTGTATAAATTTAATTTAAAACTTTGTACGAAATATAGGATATATGTGGTGGGGGTGGTCGACTTAAGAAAGTATAAAAGACTCCCAAGTAAAAGAATACAGTATTTTATTAAGTGTCTTGCACATCTGAGAACGCACGTTTAAATTCTCATAATGCAAACATATATTGAAAACATTTTTATATCCTATTTGATTGATATTCATTTATAAATCATATATATTTACAATAAACAATATGGTTAAGTTTTATCGTTTTCACTCGTATTACAAAGTCTCACTCTTGCTCGCTAAATTTCCGTTCGAACAACAGGTACCACGTACGTAGGCGCGTAACGCGAGTACCCATTGAGTTAATAAAACCCGTAATTCAACGTTATAAAATTTCCGTTCTCCATATACAAATTGAATTATTGCAACTGATTTTAGTTTTCCGTCGCGCGGTACGATTTTTAGCTAATTTGTGCATCGAATACGTATAGTGTACGTAGGCCGATTTTCAAAGTAATGTTAATCACTCACCGTTCAAATCACACGGGAAAACAATCCGTTCAAGCAGAATTTTGGTACTCTATAGCAGACTCGTCGGTACCGGTACTCCAGCGTGACTTTCGTGCAAAGGAAATAATTGAATTTCAGTGTCCACGTGAATCGTGACTTTTATCAATGTCAGGTATAATGCCAGCATCACCCCGATCGGCCGTGATTAGTTTCTCACCGTCACTTCGAATTTTGATTTCACTACATTTTCAAAAAATTCAAACGATTCTTCGTTGATCATGACTTCTTAACAAATCCACTTTTCGGTGGAGGTCCGACAGGCTTCTCTAATATAGGTGTAATTGGATCGATCCCAACAACAGGTATGGTCGACACTGCGTCGTTTTTAGTAGACGTCGATGCCAACGATATCGATGAGGGAGAAGGTGACAGTCGTTCTATCGACAATGTCTGTTGAGGAAGCTGTGCATCGGTCTGAATACCCGTGGAACCGTATATCTCTTTTAAAATCATCAGCATTGTATCCTCGGATTCCCTAAACAAATGAGTACGTTTGTAATCTACAGCTTTGACAACATATTCTGGAGACTCTTACAATAGTCAATGTACAAAATGTCCAGTGCTTCTAATTACATTTAATATAATTTAAAGAATGGTACTAACCAGTAACAGACGTGACTTGTCAAGGCAAAAATATACTCGTTGATGTATTCGAACGGTGCTTCCTGTAGAACATAATCTATCCTTCGTCCACCATTTAACCTGCCCACTTTAAAATCAGCGCCGCCATCGTCGTTACTTTGTTGCTCCGGGACGGTTGGCGTCTGTTGCAATTGCTCTTCGACAACCTTGTCAATTTCACGTTCTAATACACTATTATCCGGTTTATGAAACACAGCCAACTGATACACAGAATTCCATGTACTTCTGACGGAATCCAATATCTTCTGTTTCAGATCCGCGCCGACGCGCGCCATTGTTTCTTTCAATTCTACAATGCAAAAGAAATCGCCCAAATGAATTGATTCTACGCAGTAAACTGAACATTTTGCGAACACGTTTCAGTCGATTCGATTTAACCAATATTTTAGAACGTTATCCTGAGAAAAGGTCCACAGGCTCTATTAGATTACCAAGAAGGCAGACAAGACAATCAACGTCATTCGATAGAAGTATTTTAGACTTTTAAAAAACAATATATTTAATCAATCACTTACCTAAATGCATTCTCTTTCGTCCTTTGTGGTGTGGAATCAACATTGGTCGATATTTGCAAGCTTCCGGATTAATGAGACTCTCGACTCTGTAGGCTACAGGGTCGAATGGATGAAATATATTGAAGAAAGCTGGGCACGTTGGTAACAGAAAATCTTCACCGAGCATATCGATACCCCGGACTGTGACGAACATACCAATTGGGCTACCAAGAGCGAAAAAGGCACGTGGGTGAAAATTCAATTGCGGATAATGTATATAAGGCTGGCCCGTTCCAGCAGCACCTATCACGTAACTTATTTTTTTACTAAGACGTCTCTTTAGAACGCGATTAGGTAATGTCTTGGAAGGATCGGTATCTTCCTCCTTCTGAAATAAAAAGAAAATGCCATTCTACATAATGTAAATATCAATATTACACAATATTAATATTATTTTTTTTATGATCAATTCCTTTATTTTCACGTGACCAAACAGACACACGTTAACACGTTCACTGCCAGATGAAAACTATATAATATTCTGCAAGATTAAAATTTTGATTTTACACCATTGTAAGCTACATAATCTAAAATTTGTTTCGGTACTTATTTTCGTAACCTTGTTAAAATTCACAAATTCCATCCAAATTTATTTCCCTCGGCGTCTTAACTTGAGAATTAATTTTTCTAGTATCATAGTGGTAAATCCTGTCACCCACATATGGGTGACGTGGCAGTCAAAGTGTTAAATTAAAATTATTCAAAGTGATTTTAATTCACAATCAGTATTAAAGAAAGACTGGTCATTTGACTGGTCATGGTAGTAATGTAATCTTTTCTGAATCGATATCATCATTCATGACAAAATAAGTAAATGGATTTGCTTACCTGTTCTTCGTTAGCTTCAGCATCGTTAATATTCGATTTGTCGTCCGGTAATGGTTTCTGATGGCACAGAAGATCGAATAAAATCAAGCTACCTAACGAATGGCCACCGAGGTATATACCCCCGTTGAAATCCGGGTTCCTTTCTTTGAAAAGAGCGTATAGCCTGCTCATCTCGCTTCCAACTGTTTGCATTATAGTTTGGCAGTACACCGGGCTAGTATAGAAAAGTATGTCCAGCAACGTGTCGTTGGTGAAGTGTCGTAACTTAGGTATGCTCTCCAAAGTGATAGCTCGTAATTTCTTATCGATTCCAGTGTCCTCGGAATGAAGCGTCGTGTGCCAAGAAATTGGTAGAACCTCTATCCTATTTACAACCCTTTGTTCGCTTGCACTCCGATAATGCGACTGGACCAACTGCAGCGATATATTTCGGAATTCATCGACTGTAATTGTGCAACTTTTATTACTACCGCCACTTGAAACATTTCTGGGGAAAAAATATTACTTCGACTGGTTTTCTTCAAAAAAATCTCGAATTTGTGTGATTTCTTTAAAAAATTTATATCTCATGAAGAGTGCTCGTGTTTACATAATTTCTCAAAAATCTGTTAAGTAATTTAAACCGTACCAACTTCCTCCACAGTCCGGAATTTTAAGTCGCAAACGCTTCCTATACCGTGAACGAGGAACAGAAGATGATCCACTTTCTCGGGCTCGCCATCTTCGATGTGAAATTCATCGAGACCCCTTTTTAGCACCCGAGGTCTACTACCAGCACCCTGTAAATATGTACTGTCCTCTGAACCCTGTACAAATTACGATTGAACATTTCCAACAGTACCATACGCGTATTATGAAATAAAAATACCAATACTCTGTAACGTCACACTTATTTAAGCCAAATAAAAATTCGACAGTTTCTAAATCAAATTCAAACTTTGCGAGTGGAAACGTGTTTCTGATTTGAACGTGAAAGTCATTCATACACCCCCTCTCTAACTGTCGCGGCTCGATCCTCGGTCAACGACCTCTAAAAAGGCATTACTATATTTGGAGAAAATAAGTCCAAGCGGCTTTGTTTAACGATGCAACAAATTTTTGAACGTGTTTGTATCGTAAAACTGAATTATTTCGTTTAACTTATCAGTGATTAAAAGACATTTACCGAGCTGTTGCCCCACGACGCTGCCAATTCTGGAGAGCTGGGTATCGAGTAATGAATTTGAACCGTGGCACTGTGGAAGATTATGTACTCTCCATTGTTCAAGTCGATTCTTCGGTTCCACATGTTCGTGAGACACGCATGTTTATACTCTTCCTCGAGTTTTACGGCCGTGCTTTCATCGTAAGGGATATACTTGGATTCTGTGGGTCCTTTGAAGAACCAAGAGCACCGTCTCACTTCCGTCGATACCCCGCTCCAATAAACAGAGGTCCTCTGGCGTCGTAAAATGTCAACATCGTAACGACCGCCATCCGTGGCGACTGTAGTTTCGGGTGTAATTTCAGGGGAATTATGCACTTCTTCCAAGCGTAAGCTATCTTGCATGGAAAATGGAAGCCATAACACTTTATGTTCCACCTCTTTGCGATAGAACCAATGGTGGTACACCGCTCTGTACTGCATACGTTTATCTGTGGAACCAATCGCCTGAAATTGATTGCAAAACGATAAATATTAATAATACATATGTAGAATAAATATGTAGAAATTCTAACATTAAAAAAGTTGTTCCTTGACCCCGTAAAGTAAGAAAAACCCCATAAAAATGGTCGAATTTTCAAATAGCCATAACTCCTAGAATAGTGAATATATTTCAATGAAACTTTTTTCTGAAGCAGAAAAGTATTAGACAACTTTTCTGTAGGGTGTCAAACAAAATTACTAAAAATCGACAAGTGCCAAAATTTTTCGACGAAAAAGAAAATTTCAGATCGTCCTGAAAAAATTATTTTCGGTTACGGGGGTCAATTGCAATCATTTTTGGTGAATATGCATACCCCCGAAATCCTACCCACTTTCGAGAAAAAAATTCGAGTGTGTAGATAAATTTGTCGACAAAATTAAAAAATTTTAATTATTTACAATCATGTAAGAAATTAACAAATTAGTATTCATGATCTTCTCAGAATCTTCCATTAAAATTTTATCCAGAGATGAGCAAACACCCTGTATAATTTAAATACGTAAATTTAATGATGCTCTAAAATGATTATTAATGCATTATTCTGCATGCAAACTCATGACGTTTAATTAAGTGATGTAAATTAACAGTATGCGAGAAAATAACTTCGTTAAGGAGTCAATTTGATATATTTAATGCTAAAACTAAAAGTTGCTTCTCAAGAGAAGCATTTCCCAAACTGCTTACTCTTTTCGATTTTCAATTATTTCACAATCATCGTAAAGTTGAAATATTTTGGTGTTTCCATAGCTTACCAAGTTTTGAAAACTGAGAGGCACGGTATCTGTGGTCGAGCGGCCAGTTTGCGAGTTAATTGACATTTGAACCGGACTCAGAGTAGCCAAACCCGTCGGTTCAGGTACAAGCGTGGTTACCGGTGACGTGGGAAGGAATATATTATTAATTCCAGCCGCTATGTCCTGCACTTGCAACGATCCGGACAGATTCTCGAAATATTGTTGAGGTTGACTCGTCGGTGGTTGCACGAACGGACGCCTCGCAGGCGACGGATTGAGGAAATCGTTTTTAAATTGCGCCGGATTATAAAACAAAGGCGGTGGTTCTGATTGAACCGACTCGCTACATGTTACGCCCACAGTCTCTGTGCGTGGATTTTCAATAGCCTGCCACGACACTTGAGGCGCAGACACTGGGTGACTACCGAAGCTAATATCGAACGGGACGCTCGGTGGTGGTTGTTGCAAATCGTTCGTCGAAAATGCGCTGGCTAAATCGACATGCGTATTGTCGATGGTTTCTTTGTGCTGGGGCGAGCGTACACTCTGTGCGTGTGCAATTCCCTCCGAAACGTAGCTCAGATTCGATTTCTCCCCTGCTGGTGGCTTCTCAAAGAAATCGAAACCTGACGCGAGAGGCTGTGTCTGGAAATACTGTTGGAAGGATGGCACATATGACGGCAAATCATGACTTTGCGATTCGTTGATATTCTCACAGGTTGCTTGCGGTTCTTGTGAAACACTCGTTGGACGTGACTGTACAGAATCCTCTTGATTGAGAATCACATCAGTCAACGAGTCGGATTTTGATAAATCGTTCGACTTTCTATCCGTTGAAGCTTCGACAGCCTGAGTTTCTATTATATTCCCTTGAGACTTTATCTCAGGCGAGTCCTCTTTCAATTCGGCGAGCAGGTGCTCCAATTTTTCCGTGACCTGAACCGCAGAAATTGGAGCGAACGTTGGATTGGTTTTCGTTTCTACAGGCGCGGCTACGCTCTCTTTGAATATCCGCAAGTCTGGTTGATTCGAGGCGGTATTATCCGCGGTGGCAGGCTGTTTTCCAGAGTCGTGGGTCGTCAGGAAGTCTCGATGATTCGCGTACAAGTCGAAGCCGGAGAACGAAATGTTCGCTGGTGTGTTTTGAGGGGTGGCTGGCTCCGGGACTTGAGAAGGGATCGGTCGGGACGACGACTTGGGAAATGCAGGCTTTCCAGGAAAATGGATGCTCTCTTGGGCCGAGTTCTGACTTTGAGGCGTCACGCTTCGAGGCGTGACGGACAAGCTGTGAGCAACTGTCGTCGTTGGACTGGATCTGATGGATTCTTGCAGAGAGTTAGCCTGGGACAGTTGCTCTGGCGTTGAGTGCTGCAACGACGGTGGATTCGTAGAAATCGGAGCTTCGATCGGCTGCTGGCTCGGCGCTGAGACAACGTGCTCGTTTGGATTGAAAATGGTCGACGTTGGAACACTTTGCGGAGCGAATAACGGTGGAACCGCGGGGGCTGGAAACGGTTTCGGTGCACTCGTTGTCAAATCGGGCGGCAGTGCATACTTGAGACGTCTTTGATTGCCGAGTCGATACGAAATGGATCCTGGAAAAATAGGAAATCAACATATTAAATATTGAATGCGTTCGAAATTAGTTTCTTGGTGTTGTTGTATCGCTCGTATTCATCTGCTTAATGATACGGTCTCATTTTTATTATTCATTCTTTAACATCCCTTTATTATATTCGTTCTTCGATGATTTCATTTACATACGTAAAACGTATAATCGAATCCTCTGTTATCCCCGATTTTCGACAATGTAGATAATGCAATATACATATGAATACGAATAATGAATCAATCTACATAGTAACGCTTGTATCTATCTATGTTCATATGCTTAATGATACAGTCTCATTTTAAATTCGTTCTTCAATGATTTCATTTACGTAAAACGCATAATCGAAACCTCTATTATCCCAGATTTTCGACAATGTAGGTGATAATGCAATATACATACGAATACGAATAGTGAATCTATCTACATAGTAACGCTTGTATCTATCTATGTTCATATGCTTAATGATACAGTCTCATTTTAAATTCGTTCTTCAATGATTTCATTTACGTAAAACGCATAATCGAAACCTCTATTATCCCAGATTTTTGACTATGTAGATAACAATGCAATATACATACGAATACGAATAGTGAATCTATCTATAGTAACGCTTGTATCTATCTATGTTCATATGCTGAATGATACTGTCTCATTTTATATTCGTTCTTCATTGATTTCATTTACGTAAAACGCATAATCGAAACCTCTATTATCCCAGATTTTTGACTATGTAGATGGCAATGCAATATACATATGAATAGGAATAGTGAATCTATTATTATTGCAATCATTGAAAGCAGAAACACATGGCCATGAATAGTATTAATGCATACGTAACGAACAAATTTATTCATCCATTCACGTTATGCAATTGAATTATTGTTTGAATCAAATTTTACGCGTATAAAAATTTATTCGTTCCTGTCGATGACTGGGAATACATAACGATCATTTTCACGATGAATTATTACCTGATTATTTAGACAGAGATTTATTCGAATAACGCACAACTCTGCACGAGACTGTATGCAATAAGATGATCGAGCGTTTTCCTTTAGAATGAAATAATTATTTTTCTTTTAATTCTGGTTAGTATTGAGCCAGTTGGTATTACATTCTGTAATTATTATGGATCCAGGTTCAAGCGATTCAGAGTAATGTTGTAAATTTTTGTTCGTCAAATTCTCAACAAGCTCTTGTCAAATTTCTTGCGCTAACTTATTCCTCTTAAGTGAATAAAAATTCATTGAAAAAGTAATTATAAAAGAAATAATACTGTTCTAGAAATATAGAAATTTGTTATTTTTTGAAAGTTGTTTCCCGAATAAGATTCGTTAGTCATTTTTGTTATTGTAAGTCATCGACTAGAATATATTATTAATTCTGAAAGTGGCATGAATAATTCAACTGTTCAAAGTATACTATTTAAACAAATTAGTGATAAAATATAACGATCTTAGATAAATTTCACAAAACATGTTATTTTTGTTAATTGTTCAGGATGAAAAAACATTTTTTAAACTACTTAAATGTAAACGTTTGATTATCTTGGTACCGTCATATATAATTATGGTAACGTTATTATTTGAGGTAGATGCAAGGCCACGTGCACTAAAAAGAACTCAATAATAGAACCTTTGCCCAACTGACAAGACAATGCTCAATAAGCACTGAATATAAAATAAAAAATTCAAAATTCAATTTTGTTCAAAGTCAGGCCTCCTAATTACATCGAATATTATTATTCTTTTTAATTTTACTCATTTAATAGTAAATAACAGCCAACAATGTAAGCATATTAAGCCCCGAGTGGGGGAGTTAAAAGACATCTCAAGATCAACTTCATTTATACTTCCCAACCACCGTAAATTTTAAGTGTAACTAATAATTAACCCCTTAAACCCCAAAGCTAATCAATTTCCTTCATTGGACTCGTTTCTAGGCTACACAAGTTTCCTGTGTTTTCGTTTTCAATATAATGAAATTAAAATCGAAACAATTATTTTTACAAACGATTGTCTACAAAGAGCATATTAAGAGGAGTTAAGGGGTTGAAGGTTATAAGACTAAAAAATAACCGTAATACAGACATCAAGATTGCAATAAAATCGCATTAAAAATAAACCAGAATATATTTTATTACAAGACCCTCCATCGTTCGAAGTTTAAAAAAATTACGAATAAATATTTACCATCGGTCGAGGCAGGAATTGTTGGCGGCAAAGTTGGTTGCGGTGGGGTTGGTAAATTCAGAGTGTTTCCGGGCTGGACCTCGCCGGATCCCAAAAAATTCGTACGCCGGGGTTCGTGAAAACTAGGAATTACTGGCGACGGTGTATCTTTTAACGTATCGCGGCTATCGTACGAAGGCACGTAAGGATTTTGATTTTCTACGCCGGTTACGCTTTCGAATTCCCTGGTCGCCTGCGTTCCCGGAGAATCGCCCGTAATCGTCGACAATGATAAATTTGGCAGAGAGGAGAGAATCGAAGTGAAGTAGCCTTGCTTCGCCGGTTGGTTCTCTGTAGCTTTAGCGCCCTCGGGGATCAGAGGTATAGGTGTGAATTCGGTGTCTTTACTGTCCGCATTCACCGGTGGAGTCGAGGTACGCGAATCGACTGATTTCTGGCCCACGAAGTTGTCCGGTTCAGCATCTGAAAACAACGAAAATTTTCGTCTAAAATTTTTATACGATCCATTGAAACAGATACGGTTCGAAGCTTACAGAGAGTGATTCCCCAAAATGAAATTAATTTCCTACATATCACTAAAATTCTCCCGAGATCCTACCCTCAGCCAGCAGCGCCACAGAACAGTTGGTGTGAAAAGTGGTAGTAGCCTCTGTTTACGATTGATATTCACAGATCCTAATAAAATCATGATCATATTTAGCTATGGCTCTGATACAATGTGAAGACCTTAAAATCGAATGTGAAGAAAATGATAGCGACACTTTAAAATCCAAAAACATATAATTTTTCTTTGTGAAAAGTGGTGGTCTCTGTTTACGAATTTTATTGATATTTGCAGATCCTAATAAAATCATGATCATATTTAGCTATGGCTCTGATACAATGTGAAGACCTTAAAATCGAATGTGAAGAAGATGATAGCGACACTTTAAAATCCAAAAACATATAATTTTTCTTTGTGAAAAGTGGTGGTAGCCTCTGTTTACGTATTTTATTGATACTGACAAAATCGTGATCATATTTAGCAATGGCTCTGATACAATGTGAAGACCTTAAAATCGAATGTGAAGAAGATGATAGCGACACTTTAAAATCCAAAAACTTTTTATTATTTTATATTTCTTTTTGTACACTTCTATGTGAAATAGATAATTATAGACTTGAGACTTAATGGGTTGAGTAAGAATCTGTGCTATTTTAACTCACCATCACTATTATTAGCGTGACAGTCACTGAAATTCGCTGACGATCGTTATATGTATTGTATTGTATCCACTTTACTGCTTCCCCTTAGGGTTACACTTACTCGTCTTACACACGATCGTTATATGTATTAATTTATACATATATATATATATATATAAAGATAACGAATTATAAGATAATGAAATTTGACATTGATTTAAAATCCTGTTCTTTATCTTCGCCGCTACTTATCATACATATTAAGTTCTTGTTGGACATGTTTAGAGTAGACTATATTATTTAAAAACAAATCACGGATGAATGAAAGAAAATAAAAAACTAATTACAAATTTAAATAAATAAACACTGATACGTATACAGCAAGAATGCAGCAAGAATGTCTGTATGAGATAACTAACGATCCGATTAATTAGCGGCAGCTTAATTGAGAATGAATTGCATTTTAAGAACATGAAAATATCGAAACAATTTGACGATATGTATTCAGTTGTTTAATCGGTTGCTAGGCCAACAAAAATCTTGTAATAAACAAAATTTGGTATCATGCGGTCCGGATACAATATCCGGATCCAGTTCAATTTCATTATGTTGTCTGTTGGATCATTGGATCTAACAATGTTGTAATAATTTCTTCTGAACGCTAAACACTCATGTCCCATTAAACTTTTTCTTATTGTTCGTTACATTAATTTCTCCTTTTCTTTTATTAAATACTAATACATCATTCTCGGTTTGAACTCATTTTGTTTTTCAGCGGAAGCAGTTAATGATGCATCATGACTAGTAAACAGCATCAAAAACATGACGCCAATCGTGTCATTTTTAAACAGTAATATGATTTGTTTTTTTCTTCAACGATAATTGCATTGACTTTTAACTTCCAGTATCTTATAATAGAAGCAATATACCAGTGTCATTCAATAAGTAAAAAGAAGGTTCTAGTTAACACGATATCTAAAAGATACGATACATTCAGTATCAAAAATTTACATCTGTCACCGATTACAATATTTATGAACTTTGAAACCACTTACGAAGACTTTGGTTAGAAAGTAAGAATAACAAACATTATTGTAATTTTATTAATTATAAAAAGAATTAAGGGGGCCAGACAAACAGATTGAGCCTTTTTCTAAGGGCTTATTTAAAAAAAACGATTAGGTATAAATAATTTCACTTCTACGCGTTTCACTTTTATGTTTTGGTAGCTTAAAATGTATACGAATGCAAATTTTTTCGTAAAATGTTGTCAAACAACCACGTAACGAGCACTTAAATAAATAGAAATTATTTTTATTTTGCAGTGATTTCTCATCTTCAGATAAAGCCAATCGAATTTGCACTGAACCTATTTAAATATTAAAAAAATTCAAAATTATGAAAATAGCGCATTAAACACGGAAAATGGAGATTTTAAGGTAAAAAGCTTGTCATAAATATTTACAGGTTCATATTGAGATTCAATGTATACAAACACCTCCGACTTCCGCGTTCGACATTTTCATCCCCCAAAATACTTATTTCTCTTTGGCATTTAATTTCTAACTAGTATTAAATTCGAAAATAAAAATTGCTTTTTCAAAATCGATTTTCTGACTGCCTGGCCCCCTTAATAATACTCATTTAAGAATTTTTCAAATCATGCAGGATCCTTGAAATCTTTCGAAACCGTAAATTATTTTCATTTGCTTTGCTTGCAGTCATTTAACAACTCTATTTATAAAATGGAAAACATCGATATGTTTAAATTTCCATAATTCATCATTTTTTAATATTACTCTTGCTGCTATTTCAGTAACGATTACGACCACGTAAATGTACTCATTTGCAAAACGAGTTTGTTCGTACAACTGTAGCTAACGTTTTGCTTGGTAGCAGATGAGAAAAATGAACTTCTACCGTGCTCGTCGCCATGTATTAACCGCCACGTATTAACTAGAAAATGTCCAATAGACCAAGTCCCGATTGGATCGTTCAGAAACTGTAAATATTTAACAGGATACAATTAACGCAAGTCCCAATGACGAAGATAATGCCCGGTAAAAAAGATACGACGTATCGTTTCTTACGTGGGCATCCTGTATGACTTCGAATTACCGATTTCTATACGAGATACACATCCTGTACACGCATGCACATCAAACACCTGCGATTGTGCAACGGGCCGCGTTTACGCCTAGATTTACTTTGCTCGCTCTCATGTTATCGTGAACATAACCACGGGACACCTAACCCTTCTGTAAACGATCAGAAACCGAGGCTTTATAAGTAACCGGTCGATTTTTACGGCCAGTCCTTCCGTCAAGAATATCCCTGTGACACGCATCATGGAAACGCGAGTGTGTCTTCGTTGTTCCGCGATGTGTTACTTAGCGTACGTTACGTGGGCGACGATTTTTGTTGCCGCGACCACGGTGGATTCCGTCACGATCCTCGAGGAAGACCTGACAGCCAATCTGAAAATCCTCAGGCAGAACGTAGAGACGAACGACGAGACGCGACGAACGAATTTCGAGTTCCAAACGGAACTGCCTTATTGGATCGCGCCGATCGGGAATCGGTTCACGAGATTTTTCGAGAAATCCAAACAATCCACCGACCAGGGAACTGTACTTTTCCCCACGGACGAATGTTCCAGGTGAATTATTTGCGACAAAGACGCGTGATAGCTCGCGAAATTGATCAAATAGTTTCTAGTACTCTTGGATTACAGATTTTGTTAATACGGTTAATATTTAACCACTTAACATTCATGCCCGAGTCTGACTGCTTTGAAAAACGATATTTGTTTAATCTAACGGTTTAAGGGATGATAATGTTTTCTTTCAAATTATACGTTAGATACATTGTAATTAACAAAAACCGCATTTTTAGAAACAAATCCAATAAAGAAAACTGATCATTCTTGGATAACCCGGAAAATATGGGCGTTAAGGGGTTATGGAAATAATGAGAGGAATGAAAAAAAATTTGTCTGCAATTTGAGAGCATATTCTTATACTTCTAAAAGGGATCAAATATTGAAAACAGTTTGAAAAAGAAAAATTTATAAATATACTTCTAGACCTATTACACGAGAATCCTCCCTTGATAAAATTGTTCTTATAATAGTAATATCGTAATTTATTAGTATAGTTAGTATTTAAGCAAATAATAAAAAGAATCTATAAAACAAAATTGTTCTGCAATTTGAAAGTATATTCTCATACCTCTAAAAAGGATCAAATATTGAAAATAGTTTGAAAAAGAAAAGTTCATAAATATACTTCTAGACCTATTACACGAGAATCCTCCCTTGATAAAATTGTTCTTATAATAGTAATATCGTAATTTATTAGTATAGTTAATATTTAAACAAATAATAAGAAGAATTTATAAAAGAAAAATATGTCTGCAATTTGAAAGTACATATCTTCTTATATCCTTAAAAGGGATCAAATATACAAAATATTTAGACCTATTACACGAGAATCCTCCCTTAAGGTGAGGGACTCATGTAAAATGGTAAAACGAGAAGTGATATTTGACAATTTTTTTCCAGCATAAGAATTTGATAAAACTTTTCGCCACTTTCCACATATATTCTTTAGCATTTCAAGATACAATTATAAATTTTTCGTTATGTTTTATCGACTTTGGATGAAATAATAAATGTTATTCCTTATATCGACGACGTTGATCTAGCATTTTTTTCCTTTAATCTAGAATAAAAAATCAAACGAAATTTTGTTCATAATAATACTACGCATCGTATGAACTAACATTCTTCATAATAATAATTATTTAAACTATGTTTTTTGTATAATTAAATTAGAAATTTATTGCAAGAATCATTTTTTTTGTGTTTAAAGCCATGTATCTTCGAAAAGTTTAAATTTTTAAGGATAATTTTAGCTCATAGGACCCGTATTGCTATTATAATCAAAATGTTCGATTTTTTCAACGCCTTCGACATAAGGAATAACATTTATTATTTCATCCAAAATCGATAGAACATAACGAAAAAGAAAAATATTTGTATATGTGGAAAGTGACGGAAAGTTTCATCAAACTCTTATGTTGTAAAAAAATAGTCAAATATCACTTCTCGTTTTACCATTTTGCATGAGTCTCCCCCCTTAATAAAACTGTTCTTAAAATAGTAATATCGTAATTTATTCTAAAGGTATTGCATCGGACGGGGTAGCAACGTGGATGAGGATAATTTTCAATACATCAACATCTTTTGGTCGAGTAATAGCACCGACTCACTTGGTAAGAAAATATTAGAACTAATAATGTAAAGCATTATATAAACTTTAATTACGTACATGTATTATGTGCATGCCGCCATTGATCTTCATTGATCTTTGAATCACCTATCAACAGATAAGCCTGCAATTCTGCCACGTTGTATATGTATGCTCATAGAACGATTTTAAATTGAATATCATGAATTAAAACTTCCCTTAAGAAAAAGAATTTTAACGAGAACCACTATTAAACAGAGCGTAAGATAAATCAAGTTAAATCTGAGGAAATATTTCAGATAATCCCCTACCGAAAGGTCACTTGCAATTGACCATGCCAGAAGTAAGGTGGACCAACGAACAAAATTCAAACAACGTTCCCAGAAAATGTCAGGTATAATTCGTTATACATTGTGCCTATCGTACCAAGAATATTCGTAATCTTGTTTATAATTTTAGATTTACCTTGACCTCGATTGCGAAATCGCTGAAACGGAAACCGATACGAATTATATAAAAAAGGAACTCCACGCGAATATACAAAGTAACAAAGAAAACAAAAGAGAATCCGAAGGAGCCAGCAAACCTAAATTTCGAACGCCTGTCGGTATAATTATACTCTCGATCTCGTTTCGTAGTTATTAAATACCAATCAAACGAATCGAATCGACTCTTTTCCAGATAAAAGTGGTGGAGAAATGTAACTTGAGCGAAGCCACGGAAACGAAATTCATCGTCGACGGCAGGATAAATCGAATTATCGTGAACGTAGATGGGAATATATCGAAAGCAGTGCTTCGGATACCAACGAGTAAGTTTCCCTTTGCTTTTCGTTAGACGCTAGAAAACCGGTCCTAAATTAATTAACCAATCAATCCACGGATTCTAAATCCGTTTACGCGGAGGTGAAGGCTGAACCTTGCGCCGCGTGTTTCGATACTACACTCCCAAACAAAAAGACAACAACCGTGTGCTGTCTTTGATTTTAACCGTTGCGATCGAGATGGCTCGAAAATTCTGATCGAACGGGTAAACAATACGTCGTACGAATATGAAACCATAACATGGCTGACTTCAGGCGAAAGGGTGGGCATAGCTCGCTAAGGGTTCGTTGATACTTTCTTCGGTATTCTATCGGTTCTGCTTCGCTTTATTAAAAATAAATTTACTGCGAAAAATAGAAAAGGAAATTAAAATCAGTCACAGGTATTGATCTAACCGCGAAAAGCGAGTAATTCTTGTGCAACAGAAAAACAAAATTGCTCAGAAAGCTTAATTTGGATTTGAAAAATTTAATCAGATTCAGCAGGATAATGCTGCTGTGCACACAGCAAAAATTATAGAAGAGTATTTTACATAAATATTCGAATCTTAAAGCGATGAATTCTAATTACGAAAATTGCAAAGGAAATTAAAATGAGTCAAAAAGTAATATACAAAAACTCAGAAAGCTTAATTTGGATTTTAAAAATTTAATTAGACAGTAAAAATTATAGAACAGTATTTTACAAAAACAGTCGGGTTTTTGAATGATGAAAAACCGCTGAGGAATATGCAGAAGAAAGGCAATTCGAAGATATACATGAATTAAAGAAATGTATACAAAAAGAGTAAAATAATTTAGCACAAATTCAAATTTAAATTAAAAATCTGTACCAGCGATCGAAGTAATCGAAAATAAAGGTAGTGCCATTGATCATTAGTTTGTTATAATTAAAGTAATCCTTAGTGAGCTATCATTTTGTGTCAAAGTTCGCAGTAAGGTAATAGCATGCAATATCTCGATCGAAACGCGCGAAATTAAAGATGAGCACACACGTTTATTTTGTTTGGGAGTGTACACACACGTTCTCGTTCTGTAACGTACACTAAAAATAATTTTCGTCTCTCGAAACGTACCCTGGCACGTGAATTAATACCGCTGTAGTTACGCGTCCGTGTTCATTGTCCGGCGAGGTGCACATTTATTTCACATAGATACGTAATTGCACGTCGTCGTTGCGTCAAAAGAAAACCGTCGCGCGAACGTTGCAACGGAAAATTTTCGTTGTCGCGATTAAGTAGCAAGCCAAATACGTTTCTTGGCGTACTCTGGCCAAGCAAATTTACGTAAAACGTTTCACTGCTTTTCTGGACATTCATTTTTAACGAAGGAGGCAATGCTTAAACGTTCGTGGACCTTAAAAAAAGCATCGAGAAAGGATGGTCGCAAATTCGATTAAAAACGTTACACAAATTAACAGATTCGATGCACTAAAAAAGTGTTCCAAGCTGTTAAATATATTGAGGATTCGACTAAATATTGAATTTCTATTGTTAAGCTGATATATTTTTAATCATTTTCCAAAATTTTGTTGCATATTTATTTTTCGAAGAAATTTGAATTTTTTTAACTAGCAAAATTATTAAAGACGTTATACTATTAAATCATTTTCCAAAATTTGATGGCATTTTAATAAATGAACAATAATTTCGCAAAAAAATTGCAATTTTTTCAATTAGAAAAATTGTTATTGGCGCTATTAGAGATCATACCATGAAACTACGTTTTTTTATTAAGTTTCTTGAGAGAAATCAATTAGGATGAATAAAAGAAAAATAACGGATATTAATAATAAGATGAACCTAATTTACTGCAAAAAGAAAAGTTGTGAAACGCGAAGGGATTTTATTTTTCATAAAACAAAATTTGAGTTACAAATAATAGAAAACTCAGCACTAACTTATAGTATAATCTAATACGTGTATCTACGCCTTCCCATAACGATTGTATCCTTTTGATTATTTTTGCGGAAATTATTCCTTTTAATCGTTCACATTTGTTTACAATATGGCGGTGAAACGAGCATCGTTGACGCGACACTTGACACAGAAAACGGCCTTCAAAATATTCTCGACCGTTTCGAAATAATTTTAGATCGATCTGCGACATGGTAGGAAAGTGCAAATTGGCGGTTCAAATAAGCACGACATGCCTGGTTTGCACTGTTCCGCGAGCAGTCTAGCAGAACCTTTACGTACCGCTGATGGTATCGACCGCGTCGTCGTCTCGAACAATCTAAACTGCACACTCGTTGCATTGCACCAAGCGATTATCTTCGCGCTAATAGAAATTCAGGCGCGGCATTCGGCACGAAAAATCGCGATCGTCCGTGCCCACTACCGATCGTTCTCACGCGAATGAAACTCTCGTCCCTGGAATGGCCGCGCGACGTTCGTTGCATGTTCCTCGAAGAAAACGTTAGCTCCCGGAGGACGCGTCCCGTATTTTTACCATCGAGAGAATGCTCCCGCGAGTAACTGGCGTGACCGCGTATTGTAATTAACAGACGCAACGTGGCTCGAAACAGTGATATCTTGGACGCGTAGGGGTGGCGCGGACGGAATGAAAATCGACGCGCGCAACGCGCCACCTGGCGAGTGGCGGATGAACCTCGTAGGGGAGGACAATACAAAATACCACTTCACGCTGGAGGGTCTGGCTGAAAAAGCACACCGCGAAACGAGGGACGATCTGTTCTTTCCGGATCCTCGATCGAACGGTGAGTGACCATTCTTCGTAATAAAATTGATCATCGAAGCGTTGCAAAAAAGAAAACAAAACCAAGCAAAAGATCCATCGTACCGCGACTGTTTACGCTGAGTGAATAAAAGGATAATTTCGTTATCTAATTTCTCAGTTATTCGGTTGTTATCGTGCGGGATAAAACGATCGATGAAATCACACGACGCGTGGCCGTCGCGGCTAATCAGCTTACCGTTGTTGACACGTTCCACTGGCCTTAATTAAAACACAGCCACTGGCACAATTTTGAATGGTTGCTCGGCGAACGTTTTAGGACGCGCGGAAACGAGACGAGACGCGCGACCGTTCGCGGAAACCTCGAGTCTAACAATAAAGTCGAGTCCAGCAGTAAGTACCAGCACCGTCGAGCGTACGACTGACGGCCGCGGAGTTGCTTACGCTCGGTCCCGCGATGCGTCGTATGCGAAACTCGCCTGAAACGCGTCATCTGACAACCAGCAAACCAGCCGTCGTTTTCTGGCCGAGAGATACGCAACGGATTGTGCAAGACGCGGACAAGCTGCCCTTTGCTCGCCAGCTAGCGCATTCGGTTGACGCACGCCGAGTTCAGGAAGAAACGAGATTCGCTAATTTTTATCGTTTCATCTGATTAGAATACGCAGAAAACACTGCGTAACGAGCCATTACGAACACGGCAATACAAACGGGATCGCTGGTGAAATTGTAAATATTTTCCTAACCGTTGCACGGATTTGGTGCTTATGCTATTTATTAATAACCGCGTCTTCCGTTTCTCTTTGCGGATCTCAGCAACAAGTTCAACTATGCGAAAATATACGGGCAAAGTTCCGGCAAAGAAATCCGACAAATATTATTGAGAGCGTGGCGGATGTCGAAAACACCACGCGGTTTATCTCGAAACCGTATTTTTTTGAACGATTGTCAATGTTTATCGAAGTGCAATGAACTTTTTCGGAGTACGCATTAAATTTTGATAGTACGTGCTCCGGTACACTGTGTCTCTTCCGATCGTGTTTTCTTTTCCTATTTCGTGTTAAAGACCCCGAAATTTTATGTTAAAAATAGAGGTATTTGATTCTTGGATATGATACAGACGGCATAATACGATATGTATTTTATATTTCACAGTGAGACACTCAGGGGGACCTCTTTGTTTAAAGAACGGTGATCTTGAGAACTATTGAAATCGGTAAAGTTGCTATTATTGACAATTTCATGGACACCTACCCTATCCCCTGTCGATTTTTCTTAAAAATTCGTTTTTCATTTTTAATAAATTTGTTTGGCCCCCTACAGAAAAAAGTTTTATTGAAATATATTCACTATTGTATGAGTTATGGCTGTTTAAAAATTGGACTATTTTTATGGGGTTTTTTCATTTTACGTAGATAAAGAACAACCTTTCGAACATTCTTAGAATTTTTACATATTCTTCACCAAAATACGCATTATTTGCCACTTGGAACATTATAATCCTTCAATCCGTTCAGGAGTTGTGATTTTTTAAACATACGGATGAAATTTCAAGGGAATCATTCATTCATGGTCGGACATTGTATTTTTCATAAAGAATTTTTTTTCTCGAAAATGTGGAGGATTTCGAGGATATGTCTGTTCACCAAAAATGATCGTAATTGACCCCTCCAACTGAAAATAATTTTTTCAAAATAATTTGAAATTTTTTTTTCGTCGAAAAATTTAGACCCTGTCGATTTTACTTAAAAATTCGTTCTTAATTTTTAGTAATATTGTTTGATGCCCTGTAACAAAGTTGTCTAATACTTCTTTGTAGGTGCCCATGAACTCTACTTCAGGAAAAAGTTTCATTGAAATATATTCACTATTGTATGAGTTATGTCTGTTTGAATATTGGACTACCTTTATGAAGGTTCTTCTCACTTTACGGGGTCAAGAAACAACTGTTTCAATATTGTTAGAACTTCTTCACATTCTTCACTCAAATACGCGTCATTTGCATGTCGAAACATTAAAACCCTCCAATGCGTTCAAAAGTTATGGCGTTTTAAAGATTCGATAAAGAATCTTTTTCTCGAAAGTGCGTAGGATTTGTGGGATATGTCTAAAAGTCCATAACGTGTATAATAATGATTGAAAATATTTTGTCGATCGCATATACGTGGTGCGAATTACTGAAATCGGTAAAGTTAGCATACGTAGAAAAATATTTCTTCCCTTACATGGTGTACCAGGTTGCTATTAATAACAATTTTATCTAATATCCAAAGAAACTATTTTAAATTCGCAGCCATCAGCTCGGTGTTACACACAAAGAAGAAGTTTTCATCGTGAGTAACACCGATTACCAGGTCTCACCACGAGGAGGTTGCTGCGAGTGGAGACCCGAAAGGAGATAGATGGAATCCAAGTTCCTTTGACCTCCTCGTTTAGTTCTGCCAAGCAATTATTTTATCAAATAAAACGAGTCAAAATTCGAAGATAAGCGACTTAGGGCCGAGTCGTCTGCCCATTGGTAACTCGATTCTATAAAAACATGAGTTTGCACCCTCTTCTTGCTGGAAGTCTCAGGGACCCGACTCGGGACGTCTGAGCAAAGAGAAGGATCCTGAGAATCCAACGAAGAATAATTTTCCCTGATTCGAGCTACCAGAAGAAGGAGACTAGTACAGACGTTCGTAAGTCCCAATTTTGCCTTTTCTTTGATCTTGCTTGGCAGAACTAAACGAGAAGATCGAAGGAACTTGGATTCCTATCTCCTAAGTTCAGTAATCTGGATTAAAAGAATGTAAAAGGGAGATCGATGAAAGTTCGTGGTAACACCGAGCTAATGGTTGCGAATTTATAATAGTTTCTTTAAATAAAATTGTTAACAATACCCTGTACACCATGTAAGGGAAAAACTTTTGTACTTTCGCTAACTTTATCGATTTCAGTAATTCGTTTGCCTGTAGTTCCCAAGATCACCGTTCTTTGAACGAAGAGGTCGCACGCAAACCATTGGGTCTTTACCAGGTCGGTATTTCAGTTCGTGAGAAACCCCTTTGATACTGACGTAGGTGTCAAATTTAGGGATTATTCCAAGATCAACATGAAATTTACGAATGGGAACCTCTGAAATGCTCCCCTATCAAAGGAATTTAAAATAACAAATTCAGTTGACTTTGAAATTATTTCTAGCAGTATATTTGACCTCGTAACATGGTTACATATTACAGTCACCAAAATAATTATAGGTTCACTATTCGCAGTCGTATATTTTCTGTTCCTATCTCAATGAACATTCTCAGAAACGGTAATTCACACCTTTCTGCAAACATATGCCATAACAATGCTGCACCACTGAGTTGGGACAGCCTAAATAATAAAACGCAACTTCTTCAAAAATTTGTAACAAATCATAGTATTAATAAATCGAAATAATTTTGGATTGAGAGTATTATTTTCAAAGAATGCTGCAAATTCTGGAGACTTTTCCTGATGTTAATGCAGAACTATGATTTCCAAATACTTTGTATTGAATTTTAGGTTAGGTTAAATCCTTATAGCATAATGGACCGCGGGAAACGTTTAACTGATTTTGAAAAGGGCCAGGTTATTGTTTTAAAGGATATGGACCATTCGAACAGAAAAATTGCGATAAAAGTTGAAAGATCTTCGCATGTTATCAATAATTTCGTGAAATTAGGCGACAAATATACGGGTGCTTCAGGACAGCTTTCTAGGAGCTCGAAAAAATAAACTCAATGCAAGTCGAATAAAAACTAAATTAGGCTCGAGTATAACTACTCGACGTGTTCGAGAAGTTTCATATTTGAATGGAACTATTTTTTATAAAAAAACGAGCAAAAAAGCCCCCTCTAACAAAACTTTACAAAACGGGACGATTTATGCCATTGGAAAACAGTATTCGAACGTAAATGAGCTGAAAAATGGCGTCCGACAAGCATGGTCTCGAATCGAATTGGAAACTTGATGTAAATTAATAGAGTTTAAAAGAATATTTCAGGCGATACAAAATAAAGGAGAATCTACTAAATATTAAATTCTGTTTATTTTTGTGTACTAAAGTTATTCTTTTCTTACCTTCTCAATCATTTGCTCATTATTTATTCAAAATATGTATTGTAATATCAGTTATTTGCAACGCAAAGTTCGTTATTAATATTAATATAAAAATGTATAATTATAATAAATAAAATAAAAAATATTGAATAAAATTCACCTTTATATCATAAAACTAAATCTGATGTTACTGAGATGAACCTATCACTATTTCGACCACTATACATGGAAACTTTATTTGCAGAAAACTTAAACAGGGTACCAATTACGAAATACCGTCAAAATATTGAAATGAGAGATGATATAAAATTGAACAACGATAAAACGGCCGATGATTTGTCAAAGGTACGTAAATTGACTGTGCAAACGTTGTAATATTAAATAACATTCGGTAAATCTTTCTAGGGAATCATAACACAACAACAAAATTCAAATGCAACAATCAGCTATGAACTAGATGATGATAGAAAAATTAATCGATACAGGTCGCTGAAACATGAATCGTTCGTAGAAGATTTAAATAACGAAACGTCGCTGGAGAATTCTGACGATGAGGATTCCTCCACATCCTCCAACACTGAGAATGTACTGGCTACTTTTGCGATTGATGACGGGCACGTAACTACTTCGAATTATCCCAGTGACAATAAACACTCTTCCGGTGGAATTTTTTCAACGGAGGTAAAAAAACAACGTTCCTCTCGATGGTAACTGAAATATTGGTACTAACATTACCATATAACAGAATTACTTAATGTATTTCGATACTTGTTACAAAACAAATCGTACATGAAACGTTACACAGACTGGATCGTTAGTAACAGCTGTTTAAAATAACTTCTTATCTATAAATTTAGAAAAAGATTTCCCGTACGGAAGATGTTATTCTCGGAAAACCCTATCAAACGCTCTAGTTTATTTCATTATCGTGACTCTGTGTTTACGGAAACGTTAAAATGAGTCCACTTTCTAAATAACTTTTAATAATAACACGTGTATTAAAATACACTAATGATTAATGTTTCCCACATTATACGGTAATATTACCATTTATGTCGTAAAACCTAACGTGTTTTCGATTCAGAACCGGCAAGAAATCCGTGCAAGATCTTCGGTTGGATCGAGCGAGAATGTCGATAACAAAAGGCCAGCAATAAACGGCGTTAGTATGTCCATGAAAATAATAGAGAGTTTGGACAATCGAGAATCATCCGAGGAGATGGTGAACTACGAGAATAATATCGACGAGAAAAAACTGCTCATAGAGCTGAACAGAAATTCGAATTTGATTGCCACGCCTGGAACAATACACAGAATAGTTTTCGACGCGACGAATAACTGCGTTTTACCTGTCAGATATGGATTCAGAGTGAAGAGTACGCCTTTCAGAGTGTACAACCTACAACCCACGTAGTAAGTTGCAAGATATAATAATATAAATTATTTCCCGCCTGGATATTGTACTCAAAATCGTTTCAAAGCTATCAGCGTAAGTTCTGTACGACTGTTGGAAAATCTCTATAATTTTTAATTTTTTCATGTTGTTAAAAATAATGAAGAACAAACTATATTCGTAATTGTGTTAAGAAACTATATTTTATCAAAGAAGAACGTTATTCTTGCTTTGTAACTATAAAATCGGCATAACACGGTATTCTTATCAAACAAATTATACAAATATTGTGCTTACGTAGAATTACATTATAACAGTAACTTCGTAATGTGTGGATCCCCCGCGCTATTTTCAAGACTTTCGATCGGTCAATTTTTCATGCTTCTTATCAGATTTTCCCGTCTTGAACTTTGCACCTCGCCCCCCACGCGCTTCTAATTGCACTTCTTGGTTCAGAAATGTTTTCACACCGTTTGGTGCCAGCATAGATTTTTCCAATAATAATAATTCATATATTCTCTCTTGGTTTCTAAACGCGCTGGCCACTTTAAAACGCCAATGTTATGGTCCCGCGACTATACTACAGTTACTCGACTGTTATGAACGGCTGCATTGTCTTCGCAACACTATCGATTATTCGTACTTTGTTCCAGTGCTTGGATATATCCAGGGCAAATGAGTAATGTTGCTGTAGACTTGATTATACCCGATAATGCTGCACCGGATACAGCTAATACAGTTACGCTATCCATCCAGGGCACAGAAATCAAAGATAAGTCTGTTTACCTGCATGTTCAAGGTTCGCTATCAAAGGTAATGATAAACATAGTACATTGTTGTTAATAGAACTGAAAATGGTACGATCCTTCGTTAAAACAATTAGCAAAAAGCGACGAATAAAATATTTTGTTAACAGGCGTTTTTCCTTTGAAAGAACAATTTTTATAATTTGTTAGATGCACGTGCGCTTGAATGGAAATCAATATGACGAATCTCTGATAATTGATTTTATATGGGGTGCTAAGATACTTCTATTTACCAAGATATATCGATACTCGAGTTTTTATATTAATATGTTTATTAAATACATGACTATCACTGTATATACCCAAATATTTTGTTTAGTCATTATTTTGTACAGAATCTTCGGCCACCCCTGGGAAAAATTTTAATGGGAGATTCCAGAGGCCAAAATAAGTCGAAAATCAAGGATACCAATTTGTTGATTGAGGCTTCGTTAAAAAGTTATTAACGTTTAAAGTTCCGCCTGTAGAACGGCAATCTGCGAACAGCTGCGCACGCATGACAGTGATCCTCACTCAGAAAACTGTAAGGCTGTCGATACGTCACGAAGTAGAGTTTCTCATGCTGGGTGAGAACCACCATCGTGCGCACGCAGCTGCCTATCTACAGGCGCGACTTTAAACGTTAATAACTTTTTAACAAAGTCTCAATCAACGAATTGTTATTCTTGATTTTCGTCTTATTTTGGCCTCCAGAATCTCCCATTAAAATTTTTCCCAGGGGTGGCCGAACACCCTATATACCAAGTATAATATTCCATAATAAAATGCAGTTAACCGACGATGTGAAACCAAAGCTCGAATATTCTTTCAATAACAACTGCGCCGGAAAATTGGAAAAGGGTCGATGCTACAAATCACGATGGAGTATGGACATTACAATTCAGGATTATGATTCAGGTATAGATTACGCTTTTATATCGAGTGTGAAACATAGAATTTATTAATAAAATTAATGAATAATTAAACAATTTTGGAAACATGAACCTTGTAATTAATATAACAGCTCCTTTATACAGCAGAAGAGATGTTATTTTAAATATAAATATTTAAACGATACTGGTAATTATCGTACGAACATGCTAAATGTGCACAATAAAATTCTATAAATTCAGGTAACATATTATTTTACATCGAGTGGTTGAACAAAAAACAAGAATAATTTTATGTCAAAACAATTATAAATAATAGGCATTGTTTTCATTAAATAATATTACATTTTCATTACAGGTTTAAAACGTGTAATTGCGTCGCCTAATGAAATTTATCCGCGTACAAAATTTATTAGTGGTACAAGAAATCCTGTAACATTTTATTACTCTGCTACATGTTGCGATACGACAGCTAAAATTACAGGGATAGATTTGTTGGACAATTATAACACTGACACAATAGATGTTACAGGTAATATTTACATAATATTTAACAGATTTTTTAATTACAATTATTTGACTGATCCATTAATAAATATAAACATCAAATGAATCTTATAAAAATTAATTCATTGATCAATGTACAACTAATTTAACTCTCACTTTTCATTATATTTTAATAAAACTGAACTTATCATGTACAAATAGGAGCATTACTGCCAAGGTTATAAAAAACATTGAAATTAACAAAAACTGACTTTTCTAACAACAATATATGAAATATCTTTTCAGTATGGAACAACTTGTCAGAGGCAGAGATAGCGGCTATTACAGTGGGAGTATTGCTTGCCGTTTGCCTCATCATTTTTGTTATTATTTTAATAATATATTGCATTCGAAGAAGGAAAAGTCTGGACTTGCCTTATACGCAAAGGTATGGATCAAGACCGCCTGCACATGCTGAAAGGACTAGTTTCTAATTTAATATTTAAATTAATAAAACATATAAAAATTAATTCTCTATCAAATATGTGATTTCATTATATCAATGTAGATTAATATTCAAACTACATTCTATATGTATTACATATGCCAACAAATGTACATAAAGGTCTATCGATCAATACTGACATTATATTATCATTGTGTTTAATTATAAAATTTTTAAGTAAGTACTTAACAGGATACCTAACAAAGACAAACAGACGCATAAAGATAGCTCCAAAATTATATTTATGTATATTTCAGGATAAAATTTTTTTAACATATTCTTAAATCATTTGTAAATAAGTTGTTATGTAGTTAAAAACTGAAAACAAAAAGATAAATGAAAAAAGAATGAACGTAAATAAGATTTTGGAACAAAAAAATTTGGAACATAACCTCTATATACGTCACGTTCAACGTAGAATTTCAATTATTACAGAACAGAAAAATTATAGTATCTCATTTGGTGAATACTGAATACAAAACAGATTTCTTGTTAAAACAGGATTATATAAATAAATGTTAACAATCACATCTTGTCAGTAAGAGATACATACATGTATAAGCCTTGTGTGACTCATAATGCTAAAAACATGATTCCGATAATTAACACTAAAAACGTAACATTCGTTATCTTCAATTGCCATTCTGTGAACAGTATTTATTCACAGCTGTTTGAAACGTTGCTCGCAACTATATAAAAAGTGGCCAAGGAAATGAACCAAGAATTATGGAGATTTCTTATGGAAAATATTCACAAATTTTGACACGTGTCAAAATGATTATACAAATATAAATCTGCGAAAGCCCCGCCCAGGTGTTTCGTTCATTGACTCACCATTACGAAGTACTGCAGGTGTAACAGGCACCAACAATGAATTTTCAACGTAATTTTCGAAAGCAAACCCATCACCAGCCGCCGACAATAACGGATTTTTCACTTTACGCGATGCACTACTCATGTTTGTAGTGATATTGGCACTACTCAACTTATAAAAACTGCCATCAAAAGATAACTAGAACGCGATTGCAAATCACTTTTAATTCACCATAGAGCACGTAGCTATATTCCAAAGAAAATTAGATAGAGTGGAAGTGGAAGGTATGCGTAAAAGGCGACATTGCCACACTTCCTAACCTACAGGAGAGTTCAAACTTAGTTCCCGACTCTCTCACTACACGCGACATACATATAAAATACGAGTGTGATCACAGACGAGGTATACGAGTAGACCTTACACCACAGACGAGGTATATGAATAGACCTTTCATCTAATGTAATTTTTCGGCCCGAGTTTCTAGAGTCCCGGGACCCCATTACCATTTTCGTGTCACTCGCAACGTTACCAACAGATTCAGAAATTAACATAAGAGGAAGTGAGACAGAAAATAAAATCACAGACGAGGTACTTATATGAATAGACCTTTCACCTAATGTAATTTTTCGGCCCGAGTTTCTAAAGTCCCGGGACCCCATTACCATTTTCGTGTCACTTGCAACGTTATCAACAGATTCAGAAATTAACACAAGAGGAAGTGAGACAGAAAATAAAATTACATAAATTTTATTATTTTTGAACGGAATTAAAACTGTAGGGTCCATCATTGGACATTAATCGATTAATTTCATTGGAATAACCAATCGATTGAGATTATTTAAAGATTTCAAAATTATTAAAATACGTAAGGATCTCATTGATAAATACACCGCAAATCCTCTATTTTTTATTTTAAATTGTAATATATTATTTATTTAAAAACTAACTCGGCAAAAACGTATTTGCGACTCGAAATCAGTGTTATTAGACCGCACACCAGGACGAAGAAGGTATGTGGATCTATAAGAAGAACGCAGCCATTAGCTCATATTATTTGCTATGTAATTAATAATTATATTAATTACATAGTAAATAATATGACCCGGGTCTCACCACGTGGAGGTTGCTGCGACTGGAGACCCACCCTAGCCTCGCCCCAACCACCCTTCCTTTGGCGAGAAATTCGAATACCTATCTAAGGGAGAAGCTATCGAAAAGTTAGAAACGAGCTAGAAAAGGAGAGTTCTTAAAAGAATTGCCCAATCAAGAGATGAAGAATCTAACAAAATGTCAATACATGTGAGATGATACACATGTTTTCTAAAAACGAAATTGAAATGTGCAACTGCACGCACGAACTCTGACCGATGAAGAGATCAAAAACCTAACAAAATGTTGATACATGTGAAATAATCCATCACATGTTTTCTAGAAACGAAATTGGAATGTGCAACTGCACGTATGAATCCTGATTACTAAATTATCAATATGTACTTTATTATTAATTGTTCCTTCTTAAATAAATACTTGCATTATGACAGTGCCTAACAAGACACTCGTACAAAACGAAGAAACAACCAGAAATGTGCAACTGCACGTATGGACCTTGCATATTAGAATACTAATATGTATCTTAATATTAATCATTCCCACTTAAATTTACTCACACTTTTCGGTTATACTTAATAAACGGCAGGAGAACGTTTTTTTATCTTATAATCTATATATATTTGTACTTATATTCTAACTCAATCTGTAGAAACATGAAGGAAATATTTTCTTCTTGGTGTCTTCGTCACTCCCACGATGTTTCCCTGAAACAAAAACTCATATCAAATAAAATATATAACTCATATAAAACAAATAAATATGAAAAAATATTTCTTCTTGGTGTCTTGATTAATCCCACGATGTTTCCCTGAAACATAAATCAGACAATACATAAAATTGTACAAAGAAACTAACTACATCAAGCTACTTCAAACTACAATAGAGTGGCACATATGGGATGAAGTTAGACGTTTTAAATATCGCAACACTACGGGGCAACAACGCGATAAATCAACAATCGCAACGCTAATTTATAATAGAAAAAATTCCAAACGCGACTTGTAAGAATAAAAGCAACCCGCGAATGGTAATTATTCGCAACACTACCCTGAAAAGCAAACGCGAAAAATAGTAATTCGCAACTCTAATTCGCAATCGCGTTTACTAAAAATTCGCAACGCTATTTTTAAAGCAAACGCCCGGTTCCTAGGTTTGCATAAAGACAATCACGAATCATATTTATTCGCAGCACTAATATATCAACGCGATAAATATTTGTTCGCAACTCTACGAGCAAACGCGAACATTGTATATTATTCGCAACTCTAACTTTAATCAGGGGCTATTGGTACATGTACATAGACATGTACTGGCCACAAAATAAACTAACTACTACTAGTACTACAATTGGGGTAGAATTTGGGCATTGAAAATATCGCAACGCTAAATAAAAAATCGCACGATTAATCAAGATCGCAACGCTAATTTATAACGTGAAAATTACAAACGCGGTTGACATCCATTATTATATGTATAATATATTTACATAGCAAATAATATGAGCTAATGGCTGCGTTCTTCTTATAGTTCCACATACCTTCTTCGTCCTGGTGTGCGGTCTAATAACACTGATTTCGAGTCGCAAATACGTTTTTGCCGAGTTAGTTTTTAAATAAATAATATATTACAATTTAAAATAAAAAATAGAGGATTTGCGGTGTATTTATCAATGAGATCCTTACGTATTTTAATAATTTTGAAATCTTTAAATAATCTCAATCGATTGGTTATTCCAATGAAATTAATCGATTAATGTCCAATGATGGACCCTAGTTTTAATTCCGTTCAAAAATAATAAAATTTATGTAATTTTATTTTCTGTCTCACTTCCTCTTGTGTTAATTTCTGAATCTGTTGATAACGTTGCGAGTGACACGAAAATGGTAATGGGGTCCCGGGACCCCAGAAACTCGGGCCGAAAAATTACATTAGGTGAAAGGTCTATTCATATACCTCGTCTGTGATTTTATTTTCTGTCTCACTTCCTCTTATGTTAATTTCTGAATCTGTTGATAACGTTGCGAGTGACACGAAAATGGTAATGGGGTCCCGGGACTCTAGAAACTCGGGCCGAAAAATTACATTAGATGAAAGGTCTATTCATATACCTCGTCTGTGGTGAAAGGCTATTCATATACCTCGTCTGTGCTTACACATTATGGACTTTCGTGGCCCAATCTGACTGCCATACCGACCTGAAAATTCGAAGGTGATTTTAGCGACCTCTTCTCATGGATGGCGGTCAGTTAAGAAACTATTCACTGAATTAGTATTGATGGGCAGCAGCTGTAGTGTGTACGTAAATACATGTAACTTGACTATGGAACGGATTAAAAAACGCAATTTTCAAACGACCATAACACCTATAATAGTGAATATATTTAAATGAAACTTTTTTCTGAAGTAGAACTCATAGGTTCCTACAAAAAAATATTAGACAACTTTTCTGTAGGACGTCAAACAAAATTACTAAAAATCAAAAACGAATTTTTAAAGAAAATTGACAAGTGGGTAGGTGCCTAAATTTTTCGGTGAATTTGAAAAGTTTCAAATTACTCTGGAAAAATTATTTTCGATTGCAGGGATCAATATCAATCATTTTTGGTGAATACACATACCTCCGTAAAACTACGTACTTTCGAGAAAAAAATTCTTTACTGAAAATATAATCTGTGGCCAGGATTGTTGCTGTAATTTCATGTTCTGTCTTATTTCCTCCTGTGTTCATTTGTATAACCTGTTGGTAATGAATTTCAATCCCTTCCCTATAGTCAACTCGCATGTTAAAATGTTAAAAAGATCATGCATCAAATTGTAAGAGGATCCTCGTAAGAAGGCTTTAATCTTCGTAATGGTTTTAATGGGTCGATGATCAACAATGACTAGCTGATGGTCACTGGTGGTCAAGAGTGAGGTTGACATCAAAGTCTGCGGTCCAGTGAAGATCCAGAAATGGTCAAGAAATGGGACCAATCGAAATAGTTTCTTTGTAGGCAAGACCCGACTTAACTGTTAACTTCAACTTTGGCTGTGATTAGTCTCCCCACCCTTTCATCACCTTAGACATATAAGCAGGGTCACTGCGAAGAATTCTTCAGTCTCGTCGCGAAGTCGGGAGTGCACAAATAGCCAGAAGTGACCTGAGGACCGCCGCTGACCTCTGCTGGCCGCTGCTGACCACTACTGGCCAGCGCTGACCATGGCTGACCACTACTGACCAGTGATGACCACTACTGACCACTACTGACCAGTGCCGGACGGTGATGACCGAAGGTAAGTACTGTTCAAAATTCTCTCCCCACTTCTATTTTATCCTTTGATTCCAATTTCGCTTAAATGAATTACCTAACTGCTTTTGTGAAAACACGAATATTTTCTTACATTACAGATGACCCATTGGTAACTACCTAACATATGTATTGACAACAAGTGGTAAGTCCACTCCATTCATTTGTATTATTTCTACAAAATTGTCCTATTTATTTTATTTGATTGTTTGGTATGAATTCATCTCTGTCTGTCAATCTGGTTCTATTCGATTATTCCGAATGGTTTTGTTCTGTATTTCTACTTTCGCATTCTTTTCCGAATTGGTGTGGTTGTTTCAATGCGTATAATATTGTATGAAAATGATGATGAATATTGAGATGTGATATTTTGTTTAGTACTGTTTGATACAAGTGAACTTGTATCTTTCTATGTGTATTTCATCATGGGTAATATTAGGAAATTTGTCATGTGATATTTCGTTCGGTACTATTTCTCTATGTTTCGAAACTAAATTTCGGTATGCAATTCTGCTCAATTTTCATTTTTCTTCGTCTCTGAAATTTTGATGGTTCTTTGGCTACGTGATAAATAATTTTTGCATTCATTTACTATTTTATATTCATATTATTCTGCGTTTATCTCTCATTACAAAGGTATAGGTAGAATACTTATAGGTTTCTCATTTTGTCACCTTGTGTTTCTTTAATATGTTACTAATAATATGAGTATTAGTTTTTGTTTCAGGTCAGATCTATTACAGATCAATTGCACGGACATCGAGGGATTCATCCGCCGTGGGACATATAATTCTAAGTCTATTAGATTTAAGCTTCGTCGCGAATCTTAAAATTAACGTCGAAGATTTCTTTATTATACGTATCACCGCGCTCTACCAAGCAATTATTAAACAAGTAGCTTCTATCTCGCTCGTTCCCTCGTTCCTAGCTTCGGTCACCGCTGTTTCATCGATTGAAACATGTGATCGGCCGTGTAGCTGATCCGAAAGATCTAATCGCCTTCCCATTGGTAGCTCGATCCAGGGAAAATGGTACTTTGCTGGAAGGTGTGGAGTTTCCGTATCCTGCGGAAACGCATACCTTCCAGCGAAAGTCGACACTGTTTCAGGTACTCTCTCTTTGTCAGACAACTTGAGTCGGGTCCTTCGGGCTCCCGGCGGGTTGCATTGGAGAAATGGAGACCTTCGATTCGGAGTCGCAGCCGTCCGTTTTCCTATAGAGATGGAGTTAGCAAGAGCAGTAGGTTCGATCCTCTGATCCGCTGCACGGTTCAGCGTCGCGTCGCGTCGCTTCGCGTGCCCCTCAAATTAACTTCGTCCCTCTTTTTAACCAAATAATTGCTTGGTACAACTAAACCAGAACATCCAAGGAACTTTGTTCCCTTCTATCGTCCGAATTTTAGTTTTAACTTGACCAGACTTGAGCTTCGACGTTAATTTTAAGTCCCTATTGTATGCGTCTCCCAATATTGCCAAGTAATTATTTAACAAGTAGCTTCTCTCGACTCGTTCTCTGGTTCCTAGCTTCGATCACCGCTGTTTCATCGATTGAAACATGTGATCGACCGTCCAGTCTGTCCGAAAGATCTAGTCACCTGCCCATGATAGATCAATTTCTAGAAATAGAAATCAATCTACCAAGGACAGTGTCGATTCGATCCGAAGATGTGCTGCACGGTTCAGCATCGCGTCGCGTCGCGTCTCCCTCGATTTACCTTCATCCCTTTTTAAACGAAATAATTGCTTGGTACAACTAAACTAGAAGATCGAAGGAACATTGTTTCCTTCTATCTCTCTAGTTTAGTAATCCAGCTAAGCTTAGCTAAAAGGGAGATCGATGGATCTTTGATTCCATCTATCTCTCTTCGGGTCTCCACTCGCAGCTACCTCCACGTGGTGAGACCTGGTAATCGGTGTTACCCACGATAAAAAAGCTTTTCTATCGTGGGTAACACCGAGCTAATGGCTGCGAATTTAGTATTGTTTTTTGATATAATAAACGAATTTAGATTCATAGTTAGGCATTATGTTAGGCAGGTTATTTTTATTTGAAGACAAATTCTTTTGAAGACTCTTTCAACTCTTTTCGTTGGTTGTGCATCTTTCACTGCTTGCACCTTCGTTTGTTTCTTCTTCGACCAACGATCGTTCTTCGAGAAGATCTTTATTAATGGAGGGTGGTTGGGAATCTCCTCCACGTGGTGACAAACTTTGGACTGAGTTTATTAAATAAACTTACATATATAATCTCACATTAATGTATGTTACGGTTAACGCGATGCGCAGTGTCGAACAGCATAAGATTGGCGGTGTCTTCTGATAACAGGAATGGAAACTGTTTCTTAGCAACCTTGGACATTTTGAGGTTAATGGTATTACAAAAAAATTAAATTGGATGAGTAACATATTTTTATATTAATAATAATAATTGAAAATATTTTTCAATCGTACATGCTTGATTTAGTCAGTACAGTTTGTGAATATGAGTTATCATTCTGTTTTTAAAACTCTTTCACTTTCGCGCGATTTCGCCGTAATGGAACTACGTTGTTTACTGTTTCGTCCTGTTAATGGCGACGCTTTGGAAGACAAACAGGATTCATTATCGTCTCTGGAGCTAAACAAAATAAATTCTATTTATTCCAATATGTGTGTTCCCTATCGACATGGTTTTTAAGAATAATTTTCTAGTAAACTTTGGTGAAAGGTCAATTGTTTTAGAAAACAAGAAACATTCGCGTAGAATAACACTTACAGGATTTTCAATCGTAACTCGGACAACGTGGGTGGAGTATTAGGCCTTTCGACGGGTTTTAAATCATATATTTTTAAATGAGTATAGACCGGAATCTAAAAACATTCATTTCGTTCAAAATTGACTGTATTTTATTTTTTACACGTCCACTCCTTGGTCAGATTTAAATAAGCCCGCCTTAAAACACAGAGTCATAAACTATCGAATTACCAAATAGAAACGAAACTCACGTAAGGCAACGATGTATCCAGAATCATCGGTTCGATACACTTTTTCGGTATATCGGGAACTCGATAGGAACTGCCCAGTATCGGTGGTTTCAAACTCTCTCCACAAAGAAACGTCGACGATACTTCGTTTTCGGTATTAGTCGAGTCCGACTCGTTGAACTCGTACAACAGCGGATCCACTTCATCGATTATTTCTATATTTTCCATCTCGTCAAACGATTCCTACTAACCGACCGAGCAATAAAGTTTTAAGCCGCAACCAGGCTGTACTACTTTCTCAGAAATAAAGCCAGGGGACCCACTCGAGGCGGAGTACCAGCCTGTAGATAATGATTCGAGAGTGCTCTTCAACGTTACGTCCACCGAGGAGTTCGCGAACTGAAGTTCCGCGAGTCGATATTTGGTCGATAAGCTCCACTTTATCAAGCAACGGGTACCAAGGAGTTACCATTGACTCCCATACAATATAATTATTCATTCCCTCCCCATTACTTCCTTTCTTACTATTGTACTACGTTTCAATGCATAACTGATTCACGTAGATTACTTTCTTTCTTCCATATTGTTTTTCTATAACATTCATTTCAGTGAAAGTTATACGAAATGTATTAGCACTTTGACTGCCACGTCATCCATATATAGGTGACAGGATTTACCATTATGATAATAGAAAAATTAATTCTCAAGTTAAGGCGTTGAGGGAAATAAATTTGAGGTTATGTAGCTTAAAGATAGCTTAGGTAAAGGTTACGAAAATAAGTACTGAAACAAATGTTAGATTATGCAGCTTACAATGATCTAAAATCAAAATTTTACTTGTTCAAGTACTTGTAAAATGCACTTGGCTATAATGTACGCCATTTTGTATTTCCCCGGTTATTTTTAGACTCTGCTTCCCTTCCAATCAGATAAAAAGTTACAGAATATAAATTAGTCGGTACACGCGTGGGATAAGTAAATACGAACGTGTCTTTTTATTCGTTCGACCGTAGAAGGATTAAACTTTGCAACTCGAGTTAAAAGAAAATGGAAAGTGTAGTGACACGAAAGTGCAATTGCATTTTCGCAACTTTGAGGTACAAAGGACGGGAAAAAATGATATCGCGTTCTCCAGCCACTTTGAGGCGCAAGAGATGGAAAATAAAAGGAAAGAAAAAATAATATCGCGCCTTCATAACTTTGAAGTGTAAGGGATGACAATATGGGAAAAAGAAAAGACGGTTTTCCGTTACAAAAGCGATACAAAATTTCGATCGAGTACATGGATATCGAGCGCGTATTGTACGGAATTTAACGGATGTAAATATTTGATAACGCCTTATCAAATTTGGGATCCCCATAATTCTGTGGCCCTCGTGGGGGTCTGTAAACCATAGGTTAAGAACCTTCGTTATTCAAACTTCGTTATTCCTGTATTTGTAACTATTGTCAGACACGAGGACGTACACGTGTCTCCGAGTGCTCGTCAGAAAATAATGCCAAATGTACACTATATGTATACGACCACGTCAAAACACGTCAATTATTATTCTCGATTTAGCTCAACGTAGGTATGTACACGGTACTTGTCCCCTACCTTATAAACGTCTGGTTTCATCTACAGACAAACATTTGCTCGTGGAAGAACGGTTCGTAGGGTTGAAGACCGCGTGCACGACTATGAATGAGTTCGAGTTACGAATCGATTTCCCCATACTACGAAAGTATCGAACACTGGAAATTTCCCGTACCCTCGATGAGGATTCTTGACTTTTCATTTTTCCTCCCATATCTTTCATTTAATTGCGATTCTTCGAGCATGTTCTCAACGACGAGCCCCTATTATTCGAGCTGATACATAGGCAGACGCGTCTGGATGGAACGAGGCTCGCTTCTGGAACGTTGATCGTTACGTTCGAACGAACAAACACGTATCGCGATACTGTCAATTATTATTAACTCTTCGACCAGGGTAGATTTTTACGCAGGAAAACTTTTTGGCGCCTTGAGCAACACGCGCATTGAACGCTCATGGGCGTTTGACGCACATAGTCAATTGATCTAGATATACTGAGCGCCTGTGGACGCTTTTCGTAGTCAAAGGATTAATAAAATACTAATTATTTTAACAAAACAATATTTTTATGGATATATTAATTCCTACATTAATGGGTACAAATTAAAATAAACGAGATAAGAAGTTTGGTAATGATAACTTGGTAATAATAACAATTTAGATGTAAAGTGTAAATAATTACAAGGATAAATGATAATGATAAATCTTAACACCACTGGAATCCTCATGTTCTCGATAAAGTAACGATAAACACTGAGGACGTACAATCCGCTTCAGATATCTCTTATTATAGTTCTACACTTATTGCTTGATTAACAATTTTACGAATAAAGAAATACATTACAATTGTTTATAAAAGATAGGTATACCTGGTATAGATATTGAAAGTTAACCTGGGAGAAAATAAGTGTTTAGAATTAAATCTATGTTTTTTCGCTATTTCCTTTCGAAATTCACAATCCCTCAAACTGATGAGTACAGTAAATCTAGCGATAACCCCTTAATGCTAACATTTTTTCGCCCTAAACCGCCTAAAATGATTAGATTTCTTTATTGGATTCGTTTCTAGGTTAGATGGCAATGTGTTTTTCGTTAATTATAATACTGTAGCTTGCGTTTATGATATAGAAAGTGAGAGAAAACAATCATTTTCACCCGTTAAGGTTAAGGGATTTTAAATTGAAGATAAAAGACAAAGAATAAACAACGTTGCAACAAGAACATAACCTAGCAACTGACTCCACATCGAGGTTTTAAAAGTATATCTATTGCTACTCGATTCTGACTCGGCCATAAGTGTTAAAGGAGTCAAGGGATTTTACATTGAAAGTAAAAGACAAAGAATAAACAGCGTTGCAACAAGAACATAACCTAACAACTAGCTCCACATCAAGATATTAAAAATACATCTATCCCTAACCTAGTCTTTGTTGGCTATGAGCATTAAGGGGTTATGGTACTTCACATTGAAAGTAAAAGAAAAACAGAATAAACAACGTTGCAACAAGAACATAACCTATCAACCGGTTCCGAACTAACCAGTTTCGAACTTTGCTGCACGTGTTTAATCGGTCACATTCGAGTTCTCTGAACGTCGTAGCGGTCTCGCGAGCCATGGCATCGTTTCCGATACCGATCCTCGCCCATTGAAGCCAACGGGGATTGCCGGAGAGATTGGAGGGTAACGAAATCCGAGGGTGAGTTCGATCAAACGTCCGCGGTCGAGCATGACGTCGCCGGTGATGCTGGGTGGCGCACGCGTCGACTGATAACAGAAGCTGCGGGGGCGGCGTACGGCGCAAACCCGCGTCTCCGCCGAACTCCGGCGGGCAACGTGTGTGTTTTATCGATTCGCGGAGTCGTCGGCCATGTTGGTGTCCGCGAACGGTCAGGCGCACTCGCGTCCCACCTCGAGAGACCGTGCGATAGATTTTCCACCGTCTACACCGTCGTCGATGTCGCAGGGCGTATAACGATGCGCTTGTAAAACCGCGGCTCCCGTGTTTCCCTAACACGACGAGATACCACGTTTCGTTCTCGCATCGACGTTTGGTTCGCGCGACTGCAGCTCGACGAGCAACCAACCAGGCGAGGAAGCAACCCCCGTTCGAGAGCAGGCAGCCGACGAACAACCGCCGTGAGTAGAAACTTTCGTCGCGGAGCAACCCCTTCTGGCCCACGAAAACTCGGCCCAGTCCTATCGTTTCCCTTTTCTCTCTCGAAACACGGAGCCCTTGGACATCCACCGTTCGTACCGTTCCACGAAACAACCGTGGAATTTACGTTTGGCGAACCTTCTACGGTTTCCTAAGCTCCCTTAAGAGGGCTAGGTTCTCCGTGCCACCAACTTCCAGCGAGTATCTGTTATCGTTCCCGGGTAACAACCACGGACTAGCGCGATCACGACGATTTTTCTGATCTGTTGGGTGGTACTCGTTCCTTTTTCTCCGCAGATAGGCATCGTTCAGGTTCCCGTGCACGAACCGGAGATTATAGATTTCTCGAACCGCGAGGAAGCTATTTCTGGTCGCTTCTAACCGACTCTGGCGTTTCTGCCAGCGTTGGTCGTCTTTTGGGGTGGTAGTTCGACTCTGTTTTGCGATAGTTTGTTATTTCTGTGCCTCTGAGTCGTTCCTTTCGGCGGTAGTTGGAGCCTGGTATTAATTTCTTATTCTTCGACGTATCAGTCGGATTCTGTTGTTAATATCGTGTTACTTCCATCTATTTGGGTTATTTGTTGAGCTGTTAGGAGTGTGTCGTTTCTTGGCACCAGTTCTTTTTGAAATTTCGCTACTAATTTCGTTACTAATTTTTACATTTTTGGGGTGATAGCTTCTGTTATTCCCCTTCTGGGTTATGTTTCATTATTTCTATTCTACCACCCCAGATTGTTTCTGAATGATTTTACTACAAGCCTGCGAGTTGCACAACTAGATCGCATTTTGGGTTGCCAAATAGATTCTAATAGCAGTCTCTAGGACACGCAGATGCAAAATCTCGCAGTGTCCCTTTTTCGTCCCTTCGTCCTATACCCGACAACCCCAGAGTTCCGGTCGTTTCCAAGGATCGTTCTCCTGACCGTTTTCCCTCGTTTTACCTTTGACTTCTACGTTCATCGTTCCATGTATCTGAACTCTCCTAGACTTCACGGGTCGTCGGTGCTTTCAGAAAACGTCCCCTTCGTCCCGTTGTTCGTGAACCGTGAGAATTCTTCTTGGCAGTGGTCAGCTTTCGAGCCTTCGATATGTGCATCGCTCGACCGGACTAATTACGATTCTAAGTGCTATTCCTTCGACTCGAAGCGTAACCCTTTCACTCCTGTTTGGTCCTCTCATCAAACGATAATAATAATACCATCTTACCAAGATTCGTGCATATTAATCCACTCTCGGATAAAGGGGAACAAGGGAAAATTGATGTTTGGCACGAATACGATGTACAGCTATATATCGTCAGTAACATAACCTCGATACGTATCCCTGAAAACGTGAGCCGATCAATTTTCCTCCGCCGTTTCCGGCGTGACATTTTACGCTTCTTATTTCTCCCGGTATCGACGACATCGCTGCACTCTGATCGCGGAAGTCGATGACGAGCGTTCATGAATGGACGTCGATGGACCCGGTGGATCTTCTTTTCGCCGACCCAACCCCCATGTTGTCCCGCTGGCACACTTTCCCGACATCCATATTCGTCCAAGCTGTTCCCCCGACCCTGTCGAATCGTAATCGACGAATAGAATTTCGTCCATCGAGTCTGAACCGTTCCTCTTTCGTCGTATCGACTTTTTTTTTCAACAGATTCCTGTGCTCGATAACCATGGAATCCACGACGATTTCCGGCGTCGTCGAATCGTTATTCGTGGACTCGATCATCCCTCAACGCTCCATTATTCCGTTTATTTTAACAATCTGAAAAAGTGAAGGAGTTCCCATAAGTGTGCTTATTGGTATACTTCGTTCGAGTGTCTTTAAAGCCTCTAAATCCTAATTAGTGGATTTAATCCTTCAATCGACGATGTTATCCTGCATATTGATATTTATTTTGCGATCTAAACTGGTGAAACGTTTCTGAAAAGTGTGTCTGCGTTGGATTTCTATATTATTTTCGGTACTCCCGGGTGCCATTGAAACGCGTAATCAGTGGACACGATTTTCCACTTTACGACACGTAAACTCGCGACGAGGTTTAGATTATGGGTTATTAAAATTATTCGAAAACGCTTCGCCGTGATTCGAAACAGAAATCGTCTTTATTGGCCCGTGGTTTGAATTGTAAACTAATTACGTCGCACGACCTAACCTAGACGAGGCTAATGCTGCCATTAACGTCGATTAACGCCTCGACGCTTGAATTTTTTCAACGCGTTAATAGAATTTATTGCGTGGAAAATTATTTCACACATTTGCTACGTACTATGTATTTTCGTAACGTGATTTGTGGTTAAGAAATCATTACTTGCAAACCTTGTATATTCAAAGATGCTGCACAAACAAAATAAAAAGTAAAATATATATGTGTTACACCATTTGATGAAGGATCTAGATAAACGTAATCACTCACTTCGATGTGATTATACTTCGTACGAAGTAGCAATCATTTCAATTCCACTTTCGAGACAAAGGAGTTGAAAGCTCTATTATGGACTCTTATTCTGATCGGCCATGTTAAGTGAACGCAATTGTTGAAATTGCACGAATTTCTTTGTGTTTCTCTTAGGTCCCGTAGAAAATCCGAGCATAAAATGTAGGGTGTCCAATTCAGCAACCTTTCGTTTAAACGAAGCCTGCTACAGAACAGTAGTAATTCATTGCATTCCCGAATTATAGTTACTAAAGTCACTTTACGTAAAATTAGTACCTATTTCGAAATAAGACAATCTCGACGGATATAAATTTTTTAATTAAATCACGACATCTCGATTTCCTGCGAAATATTTATTTTTAGAATAGAACTGTGGATGCAGCGAGCATATACCATGCACATCCATTTTAATTTAAATACGCTTATTTAATTATTGCAAAATATATACATACCCTTAAATATGGAACAGATACGGATGCTAAATTATATTACCGGATTCTTTAAGCAAATTTTCATAACGATCACGCATTAAGCTTGCTCATCGAATAATCAACTTTTATTCCAAGAGAAATCGTTCCTAAAATACAGTCACGAAACATTTACACGTTTCCAACGATGTTTCGGCGTTTATTTCAAGGCGTTGGAATTTTATTTTTATTTATTAAAACTTTTCAATATAAGAAGACATACTTTAACATATTAATTTTAATTTTAGAACGAGTATTGAGAGAAGCAAACCAGATTATGGTGGTCGTCTCGAAGAGAATCGTGCAACGAATTAGTTTTAGGTGTAGAATGTATTGTAGTGACGTTTGTCTTAAACAGGCGTGTGATAAGACTTAAATTGCATGTAGGAATATAGGAATATCCCGATAACTATAGTCAGAGAGACTGAGAAGTTGCGGTTAATATTATTGGACTAGTATGTACCTGTAAGCACGCGGTTGTATCGATTCGAGCTTCGACTATGCACTTGTGCCCACCATTGCACGATGCACCCCAGTGAAACCCAGATCCTATTCGGACACAATAGTAGTCGAAGACAAACGTGCCCATAACCTCACGAGTGATTTACGCGTGCTGTAATCGTGCAATAACAATAACTGTCGAGTAACTTTATAATAATTCTACATAATCTTACCTTACGACAATTTTTACAACGATTTTATAATCACTTTATCGTAGTCTGAATTTAACTCCAATTTTTTGGACAATTGTTACATTTTCGAACATTCCCTCGTCATCTTAATTTTACAATTTTATTGTAATTTCATTTTGCTGCAATTTTACTGTTATTATGTAACAATTGCAATCTTAATTTGTCTGTAATTTTATAATAACTTGTATAATTTCATTTTTACAAATTATTAAATTTACTATATGTCTATTGTAAATGTCTGTTAGCTGCAATTTTGATTCTATAACAACTTCATTGTAATTTTAACTTTAGTTTAACTTTATGGTAGTATTTATAATTTCATTTCATTCTAATCTCTATTTTATCATAACTTCCTAAAATAACTTTATTGTACGTTTATAGAAACGTTACAATGGTCCTATTGCAACCCTTCATTTTAATGCAATTTTACGGTACTTTTATCGTAACCCGCTCTATTTTTACTGAAAACTCCTGCTAATTGCATAATCGTCCCATTGGAATATTTACTTCGTTCTAATTTTACGCAACTTTATAACAGCTTCTTTAGAATTTTGTTTCTATCGCGATTCGACAATGAGACTCGTTAAGTAACGATTATACTGCAAATACTATTAATATTACTGACTAAAATGCTCATTTCACGCATGATTATATTTCACTGAAAAGTTACACCACCGTTAATTACAGCTTCAAACCATTTTTGGGTTTCCAATAATTACTAATGCATTGTAGATTAACTCTAATTGCGTAAATTTCACTCAAATATAATTATATTATTTTAATTTACCGTGATTTTATCAGGTTAAACTTCTCTCACATTTCACAGAAACTGAAATCATTTTAATAATATGTATTATCGCCCATAAACAATTACTAAACGTTTATAGGTTATATACAGGGTGTTCAACCATATCTGGGAAAAATTTTAATGGGGGATTCTAGAGGTCAAAATAAGACGAAAATCAAGAATACTAATTTGTTGATGGAGGCTTCGTTAAAAAATTATTAACGTTTAAAGTTCCGGCCGTACTGAATTTTTTTCTAGAAAGTGGGTAGGATTTCGGGGGTAGATCTGTTCACCAAAAATGATTGTAATTGACCCCCGCTACCGAAAATAATTTTCCCAGAACGATTTGAAATTTTTTTTTCGCCGAAAAATTTAAACACCTTGTCGATTTTTCTTAAAAATTCGTTTTTTATTTTTAATAATTTTGGTTGGTGCTGTACAGAAAAGTTGTCTAATACTTTTTCGTAGGTATCCATGAGCTCTACATCACTACTAAATTTCATTGAAATATATTCACTATTGTAGGAGTTATGGTCGTTTGAAAATTGGACCATTTTTATGGGATTTATCTCATTTTACAGGGTCTAGGAACAACTTTTCTAACATT